AGGAGGCGCAGCCGCTCTGGGGAGACCCGAGACCCCCAGTTTCTTGTTGTTTATACAGCAATTTTTTTCTCTGAGCCACACATTATTTGCTTTTATTAAGCAGTACTGCTAGCCCCAGCATGATGGCACTCCCCATCCCAGCACTTAGGAGGCTGAAGCAGGAGGATCAGCCTGAGTTCCAGTCAGCCTGGGGTACATAGTGAGTTCAAGGTCAGCCTGAACTACATAGTGAGACCCTGTCTCAAAAAACAAAAGCAGCCAAGTATGGTGGCACAGTCTTGTAATCCCAGCATGCCTGTAACTTTAGCACTCAGGAGGCTGAGGCAGGCAGGTCCCTGAGAATTCAAGGCCAACCTAGGCTACATTGTGTGTTCAAGGCCAATTTGAACTGCATTGAGAGACCCTGTCTCAAACAGAAACAAAACAAAACATTAAGGATTGAACCAAGACCTCACACATGCAAAGCAATCACTCTCACTGAGCTACATTCCCAGCCCTTTTTGTTTTTATTTTGAGACAAGGTCTTGCTAAATTGCCTTGGTGGAGCTGAACTTGCAGTTTGCAGTCCTGCCTCTGCTTCCCTCAGTGCTGAGATTATAGGTATGCCCAGCTAAAGCAGGCTGTTCTTTTTTTTTTTTTCATGTTTCTTTTGATGTGTCATTTTTTAATTTTAAAATTTGTATTAGTCCGTGTTTACAGTACATGATGACTATATCCGTAATACAGCTCGTTCGTTGGTTGTGGAGAGCTGGTACACGTACATAACACAGCTTAACCCTTTTTGCTTCCCCTCTCCCCTTCCGTCCCCTCCCCTCCCCTTTGCCCTAAGGAAGGCTATTCTTTTTTTTTTTTTTTAATTTATGTGTGTGTGTGTGTGTGGCCAGCTCAGCCCACCAGGGGGCGGGGCTGGCTGGCATGTGGTGCTGGGGGATTGAACCGTGGTCCCTGTGCTTTGGTAAGTTTGTTCTAAGTAGGTGCTTTAGACCACTGAGCCATCTCACCAGCCCCAAGGAAGACTATTCTTAAGGAATGTGGTGGTGGCTTTGCTGTTTCCTTTCATCTTGGGTGTTTATTTGTTATGCCTGTTCCCACATGGAATAAGAAGAGCAGCTCAGTGTGGTGGTGCATGCCTGTAATCCAGCTATCTGGGAGGCTAGGATGAGAGTATCACAAATTTGAGGCATGTGGATGTAATCCCAGCATTCAGGAAGCTGAGGGAGGAGTTTCATGGCGAGTTGAGTGCATGGTGAGTTCAAGGCCAGCCCGAACTACGTAGTGAGACCCTGTCAACTTTCTAAAGGGCTGGGGATATAACTCTGTAGTAGAGTGTTTGCCTAACATGCATGAGGGCCTAGGTTCAATTCCCAGTACCTCAAAAACAAAAACAAGCCCAGTGTAGTGGCATATACTCAGGACATGGGACCTGGGAGATAGCTCAGTTAAATAAGCATTTGTTTGGCAAGTGCAAGGTCCTGAGTTCAATCCCCAGCACCACAAAAACAAAAAACCTAAATTATAATCTCAGGACAAATTTGCGAGTTCAAAGCCAGCCTGGCTACATAATTAATGCAAGACCAGCCTGAACTAAATAGTAAGACCCTTTCTACACAAAAAAAGAAAAAGAGGGGCTGGTGAGATGGCTCAGTGGTCTAAAGCACCTACTTGGAACAAGCTAAGCAAAGCACAGGGACCGTGGTTCGATCCCCCAGCACCACATGCCAGCCAGCCCCGCCCCCTGGTGGGCTGAGCTGGCTACATAAACACAAAATAAATAAATATTAAAAAAAAATTAAAATAAATTAAAAAAAAAAGAAAAAGAACCAAAAAGGCAAATAATACTGTGTAGTTCCAAAGGAAAAAAAATTGCTATGAAGAAACTGGGAAACAAAAAATTGAGAACCTGTTACAGACTTTGTGCTTAGTGCTAAAAAACAAACAAAAAAAGTGGCTGGTGAACAAATACCCTGGAGTGGTTGTCTGGGGCATTGAATTATGCTTTAGATCATAGGTGGAAGGCCTCAGGGATCAGAATTGCCTGTATGTGGGGAGAGAGCTACCCCTACTGGTCATATATATGAAGTATATTTTGAAGGTATCTCATTTATTCAGTATTCGTTTTGCCTAGGATGTGGTTCTTTTTTTTTTTGCAGAACCGGGGATTGAACTCAGGCCCTTGCGCTTGCCAGGAAGTGCTTATTCTACTGAGTCATCTCCCCAGCCCCCCCCCCTTTTTTTTTATTTCTGCAGAACCAGGAATTGAATTCAGACATTTGCAGCTTGCCAGGCAAGCATGAGCCATCTCCCCGGCTCCCTAAGATGTGGTTTTAATGTAAGTTAAGACAACAGGATTGGGGGGGCTGGGGAGATAGCTCAGTAGGTGAGTGCCTGAGTTCAATCCCCAGTTCCACAAAAAAAAAAAAAAAAAGACAACAGGATATAGAATATGTTTCCCCAAATTTCCACAGTGAGAAATTAACTCATTTTTTTCTGTAACCAAATACATCTATTGGTTAGGATAGATAAATAGTCACATTCTCTTAATGAATAAAGTGATTTGTTCTAATGGTGTTTGTAAATAGGATATCATGTCCGCATCTTGTATAGCAATTAACCACTAGGAAGAGAGTATGCAATGTATTAATTATTGAAACTGTCCTACCAATTTGATTTGAAACTGTCTCATTGCTATTTGTTTATCAATAAAATTATGGGAAAATATAAATAAATAAATAAAAAGAAAATGGAGTACTTTGGGTTCTAGAGCATTAGGGCAGCGATACATTAATATATTAATTAATATGGGGGAATAATCCCCCTTTTGCTATACTGGGAATTGAATCCAGGGCTTTTATTTCATATTTTGAGATAGGATCTTGTTAGATTGCTAAATTGCCTGGCCTGGACTTGAATTTTTTTTTTCAAGTCATAACCAGTTTTATCGCAAAAGGACCCTGTACACATTTATCAATTCTAGTGTCTTAATAGCTACCCAACAAGTCATTAACATACAGAAACATGCATCATGAGAAGCAAGACATATCCCCCATCCCTTCTGCACATTAGCACCTTGTCACTCCTGAGCAACGGCGCTCACATCACTGAGGTCTGTGAACAGTCACTTTTCGCATTCATCCTGTGAAAGATAGAATGACTTAAGTACAAATGCAACATATTATAAACAATTTCTTACCAAAAAAGTCACAAATTAAACCAAAGTATTTTACACAATTTACTACAAAACACCATAAAAACTGCCTTCACTTAAGCTCTCTCTCCCCATATCCGGCGGGCCTACTGGATGTCTTTGGGCACGATGGCGATTTCTTAGTGTGGATGGCACACAGATTAGTATCTTCAAATAAGCCCACCAGGCATGCTTCACTAGCCTCCTGGAGGGCACCAGTGGCTGACTCCAAAACCTCAAGCCGGTTGTGAAATCCTGGGCCAGCTCTCACCAACCTCTGGAAAGGCAGCTTCTGAAGGAGAAGCTCGGTCGATTTCTGGTAACGACAAATCCCTCTAAGCGCCCCATACCAGGCCAGTAGCGGTGAGGTTTCTTCACCCCGCTGGTAGAGGGGGCGCTTTTCCTGGCAGCTTTAGTGGCCAGCTGTTTTCGGGGGGGGCTTTCCCACCAGTGGACTTACCGAGCAGTCTGCTTGGTTCGGCCATTTTCTTTTACCCGACGCAGAAGTCTTAAGTCACTTTTCCGACAGCAGCTCTGGCCTTCAGGCCACAGCCGCAGTTGACAAAAACAAAAACGACAACTGCTCAACGAACGACCAAACCGCTCCACTGGACTTGAATTTACAGTCGTTAAGCTTTCAGGTGATGGGATTACAGGTGTGCTCCACCGTGTCTGGCACAAATATGTTTACTGTAGATCATCTCTGCTGTATTACTTTGAAATACTTAATTCGTGACGTGTGAGTGGTGTTACGGCCTGTAATTTTACTCATATAAAGTGGAAGTCCCTACTTTGCCTAACATGGTAACCATATTGGATAATTATTGCCTTTCCTGAGTAATAGAATATTAGTGGAACAACTGAGAAATTAAGGGCTGGGGATGTAGCTCAGTGGTAGACTATTTACCTAGACCGTGGAAAGCCCTGGAGATAATTACCAGCATCAAAAAGAATTTTTTTTTCACATGCTTTCTTTTATTTAACCCTCCATCTGAAAACTTGTAATATTCGCCAAATTTAGGAAAAGGGAAGAATGGTTTGCCTCTCAGCAGTCTGACCTCAGAGCCTTGATGCTTAACCACTTCTCTATATGGCAGAGTCTGGCTTGTCTAACTTTCTCTGCAGCATGAGCCCACTCTTTTACAGGACTGGTTATTTATCTGCTGAGCCTATAGCCCCAGACCCAAAGGAAGAGTCATGTTTCTTTTGTTTCAATCTTAGGATTTCTCTTTCTCCCTTTCTTTCTCTCTCTTTCTTTCTTTCTTTCTTTCTTTCTTTCTTTCTTTCTTTCTTTCTTTCTCTTTCTTTCTTTTTTTCCTTCCTTCTTTCTCTTTCCTTTCTTTTTTTCCTTGTCTTTTTCAGACAGCATCTCATTGTGTAGTTCAGGCTGGTCTTGAATTCACTTGGTAGTCCACGCTGGCCTCAGACTTGCAGTGATCTTCCTGCCTCAGCCTCCCCAGTGCTGGGATTACAAGTGCATATCACCATGCCAGACTAGAATTTTTTTTTATTTAGTGCAGGATGTTGTACAAGGTATACAGGGTCTCACTACACATATGGGACTTGTAGTGATTCTCCTGTTTTCAACCTCCCAAGCACTGGGATTACAGGCACATACCACCACGCCCAGTCTCAATTGCTGTCTCAGTGCACCCTGGTGGTGGGGCTGGTGTGGCAGGCCGGGGATCAAACCCCGGTCCTTGTGTCTGCCTAAGCAGGTGCTTTAATCCGCTGAGCTATCTAGCCAACTCAAGGTTTCTTTTTTATGTAATTTGTACTATCTCCTGCTTTTTCATTGACACTGATTAATCATTATTTTAATGTGGAACACTACACAACTTGAGTGTCATACTTGTGCAGGGGCCAAGCTAATATCTATATTGTTCCAATTTTAGTATATGTGCTGCTGAAGCGAGCAATGACACTGAACAGTCTTGTGTTCTTCTTTGCATCATCTAGCAGCTGCTGGATTTTTTTTTTATACAGCATCCCATTATGTAGTTCAAACGGGCCTTGAACTCAGTATGTAGCCTAGGATGGCCTCAAATTTGCAGCAGTCGTCCCGCCTCAGCCTCCCAAGTATTGGCAGCTGCTGGATAGATCTTTCATTGTCCCTTGCTATTTTTAAGAAGTCTTTCTTCTCATAATCACTAAATGCAATCCTGTCTTCCATATCTGAGATTCTGCCCTCACATTCTATCATTCTGCTGTGCATCCTTTCAGTGGAATTTCTAATCTCCTGGGTATCTGATTGAATCTGTTTCCAGCTTCCTGGGAGACTGGGATGAGAGTATCACAAATTTGACGTCAGTCTATGCAATTTAGTGAGACCCAACCTTAAAGTAAAAAAGGCTGTGGAGCTGGGCTTGCTGGCATATGGATGTAATCCCAGCATTCAGGAAGCTGAGGGAGGAGTTTCAGAAGCTGAGGAAGGGGGCTGGTGAGATGGCTCAGTGGTCTAAAGCACCTACTTAGAACAAGCTTAGCAAAGCACAGGGACCGCGGTTCAATCCCCCAGCACCA